CCCCCCAAGCCACCCCATACCCTTTGTAATTATCATTTCTGTGGCATTATGTTTGATCTTCTTTGTAATTATCATTTCTTTGGCATTATGTTTGATCTTTATTTTCTCAAATTTAACTTTAGTTAACTTCGTCTTTTCCCACTAGAAGGTAATCAAACCAAAATGTTCACTCTGTCCGTTCTGTGTCAGGCTGTCTGCTCTTTTACTTTGTATGAATTAGATTACGTTTTTACAAACAACTCATGGTCGATTTAAGCATGTATATAGTATTTAGTCTTTATAAGAGTTAATACACTTCCACCTGAACAGAATAAACCCGGAACTTCCCCCAATGTGTCCCTTGTGTGACTATGCATATGAGACTGTGGAGCATCACCTGTTCCACTGCACAGCCCTAAATGACATCAGAGCTACCCTTCTCCCTCCGAGACCTAACATTGACAACACACTCTATGGAACATTACAGCAACTGCAGCAAACCTGCACTTATCGCTGCATGGCATTGGACAGAAGGGCGAGAGCCCAGCTGTTGCTGGATCGATAACAACAACAACAACAACATAAGAGTTAATATTTGTTTTACTGCATTGGCAACAGAGTCAGGTCAAATAAATGTCGAAGATAAAAGGTGTTATTTGAGTGTAACGTGCAAACAAAAAAGGGGGGGGGGGGAGAGATGAGGAAGGCAGATATTTGACAGAAAGAAGTAGCAAACCATTATTAGAGCACCCTCCAACCTCCCGCTAATTTTGGTATTTAGTAAAAGTTTTACGAAGCTCGCAGCTACGTAAGATCATATTGTTATTTGGATGATTTATGTAATGTATAGAGGCACCAGCCATTCAATTTTAGGCAATGTTTTTTTACTTAGAATTGCTTTAGACCAAGCAGTCAAACTCAGCAAACGCATTGTACCATTGACCTAGATCTGTAATTAGCTAATAATAGGTCTATGCTTTGTACTGATGTTGTTGCTGGGAACAATATCATGTTTATCATGGATGTGGACCAAAATAATAATATTATAGAGTGGTCTAGTGACAAAATTATTTCTGCTTCCTCAACCGTGGTAGAATCAGGCTCTCGTCAATTTTTGGGCATATTGGGTTATTGGTAACCTCTTAAAATTTGTTCATTCGTCTTGCTTTCGATAAACAAATTACCCATCCATCTTCAATAGAAGTGGGGATATTTTGGATTGAAGGAGGTGGGGGTCACTTGGTTTAAGAGGTAAAATAAGCGAGAAAATGGCCGCCAAAGCTTGGTAAATTCTAAAGCTGGGGAGTCCATGCAAACTGTAAATTTATATTTGTGTGTCTTTAATCTTTGTTTTTCTGTGAAATCCTCAAATGAATGTGTTTGTAAATGGACATAAAAGGTGTTGAGCCAAAAAACAAAAATTGGATAAAAATTGCTAAGCATGGAGAAAACTGCTGTTTTCTTTAATTTCATTATTTTGACGAGAGCCTGATTTCACGACACTGTCTCACAAATTGCCTTTTGGCTGTTGTGAATTTCCCTCGCAATAACAATGCGTTAGCAGAAAGCCTGAATAGATCTATAAGGTACGGCTTCATTTACACATTTGTGGGACATGTTGCCTTAGAACGTGTCCAGTTCTTTTCTTTTAGGGAGGGGGATAGGGGTGGGGGTGGGG